CCAGGAAGAAATGCAGTTGTGATGATACCTTTGTTTTACCCCAGTGAGCTCGATCTCATGTTGTTTTAAGCTGCAAAGTTTCTGGTGATTTTTTACAATAACAGTAAGAACAGATGGTGAGTGGATGAGGAGGGAAACACTAGGCAGCAGGTAGACTGGCTTTGTCATTATTACTCATGGGTGCATAGGGAGGCTACTTTACTTCTCCGAGCCTTTGTTATTGTCCATCACAACAGTGGGTTAAAACTATGAAACTCATAAGGCTACTTTTTTCAAACCATAGATTTTAAATAATTTATTTTCCAGTGGACATTTTTAAATTTGAATTTATTTATTTATTTTTGTAATGAATTTATGAAAAGAGCAATGAGATGTTTCGTGTGTGACCCTAAGGGTTCATGAACCCACGTACCAGAGGCTGGGCTCCCAGCGTGGAGGTGTGAGAGGTGGAATCTTTGAGAGGTGGAGCTTCCTAGGGGTTGGCTGGGTGGTTGAGGATGCTGCCCTTGGAAGGGATAAGGTAGTTTTTGTGGGACTCTGAGTTAGCTCTTTTGAGAGTGAGTTGTCATAAAAGAAAATGTCCCCACTATGGTCTCACCTCTGTGTGACCTTTCCTTCTCCGATGTGCTCGGAATCCTGTGATGACATCCACCCTGGAGGGACAAAGCTAGTGTGGCCCAGTGCCATGCACTTTGGGCTTTCAGCTTCCAAAACAGTGAACTCATGAATGACTTTTCTCAACAATTTACCTAGCTTCAGGTACTTCAGTATATGAGGTGGGATCAAAAATGCAATGACTATTTAAATTAAAACATTATTATAGTAAGAGACATTCCGCCACCAATCCTCTTCAAAACCCCTCCCCTTTGCTTTGAACATGTTCATTGTGTTGGGCACTTTGTGAAGCAGTCCCGGAAGTCCTCTTTCACTGTGCTGTGAGAGCTTTCTAGGTGTCCTGAATTGATTCTCACTATCTGTCATTCAAATTGACCTGTCATGGTTATTTCACTTTGGGCAAGAGCCAAAAGTTGTAAAATGCTAGACCTGGTGAATAAGGCAGACGAGGACACACTGGTCATATTTTTATTCAACAAAAATTGCTTTAAACACTTGGAACTGATTCAGGACATTGAGGCAGCCACCAAAAGACATGAAAGAGGACTTCCAAAATTGCTTCAGAAAGCGGCAAGAATGATGGGACAACTGTGTTCAAAACGAGGGAAGGAAAGAAACACCTAAAAATGACATAGAGTATTTTGAGGGAGATTAATGGTAACGTATCGTTGAGTGTAAATAAATTTTAATTAAAAAACCCGCTAAACATTCATTGTATTCTTTTTATTATACCCTACAGAAATAGGAAACAGAGTAATATAAGCGGTTTTATGTTCATAACAAAATTGAGAGGAAGGAGCAGACATTCCCATATATCTTGTTCCTCTAACTTCATAGCATCTCTTATTATCAACACCTCCACTAGAATGTCACATTTATAACAACTAATTAAGTCCATAGTTTACACTAGCACTCACCTTTAGCATCGTACATTTTATGGATTTGGACAAATATATAATGACATGTATTCACTGTTCTATTTTCACTACCTTAAAACTTTTTGCTCTGCTTAGTAATTTTCCCTTCATTTCCAAACTCTGATAATCACTGATCTTTTTACTGTCTCCATAATTTGTCTTTTCTACAATATCATATATAGGTGGTTATCTTTTTGGGCTGGCTTCTTTTACTTAGTCATATGCATTTAAATTTCTTCTACAACTTCTTATAGTTTGATAGCTCATTTAGTTTTAGTGCTGCATGATATTCCATTGTACTACAGTTTATTTATTCATTCATCTCCTGAAGAATATTATGGTTGCTTCCAAGTTTTGACAATTATGAAGAAAGCTGCTATAAACATTCAGATGCAGGTCGTGCATGGAAATAAGTTTTTGATTCCTTTGAGTAAATACCAAGGAGAGTGACTGGATCACATAGTAAGCATGTATCTAGTTTTCTAAGAAACTATTAAACTGTATTCCCAAAGGCTGTGCTATTTTACATTCCCATAAGCAGTGAATTCCAGTCATTGTTGCTTGGTGTTCTGACTTGGCCCTCCTATGTAGTGGTGTCTCATTGTTGTTATAAGACTTCTTTTGACAATAAATGAGACAAGCTCTTTGACTCATCCAGCCCAGGCCTGACACTATATAGGTGCCCTTAATTGTTCCTCTTCCTTTTTCTTCTTTCTCCCTTTCCTGCACAGCATTTGGTTCCAGGATGTAGCATAAAGATTACAAGAAAAGAGAACAAGGAGAAAAATAAAATTGACACCAACAATGTATCAAGCCTGCATGCTCCAGGATGGGGAATCCACACCACTGGGCATTGTACCTCTACTCAGAAGGAAAGAAACTTAAAAATTAGAAGGTTACTTCTTTTTCTTTTATATATCTAGGCTCACTGCTCTACCTACAGTTTAGCACAATATTAAACCATATTCATAAATGGACATACATGAAATCATTGAAAATAGACCATGTATGTGTACTTAGATGATGGCAAGGGTGCATACATTTCTGTTAAATTCCAAAAATTAAGATTGACCTTTAAAAAGGGTTGGAGAATTGTTCTCTTGAGAAGAAAAGCCAGAAACTAACTAGACTATATTAAATCTCCTGACTTTTAATTAATTATTCTACATCCTAGGGTGATGTGATGTGCATAGAAACTGTGTATTAATAAGGTCTCTGCCACCGATAATAATATGATATTTTTGTAAAGTGGTGCTCGAGATGCAAGAGAGATATATGGATAATGGGAAATGCAAACTTCTAAGTTTGAATAACATAATTTTCTTTCAGACTTTGTAGGTAATGCAGGTTTCAAGAAAGTTGTAAATATAGTAATCTCAATATCCAAATTGTAATAAAAAGTATGGTGAGAATTTGGATGTACATTGTGTTCAAAAGAATTTTTAAATTAAATTTTGGTATTTCCTCAAAGAACTAGGACTAGAGGTTCCATTAGACCCAGCCATCCCTCTGCTGGGTATTTTTCCAAAAGAATTAAAAGAATCATACTACAGTGATATATGCACACCCATGTATATAGCAGCAAAGTTTGTAATAGCTAAAACTTGGAAACAGCCCAATTGTTTGGAGACTGGATAAAGAAAAATGTGGTTTTTCTATAAAATGGAGTGCTACTCAGCCATAAAGAATGAGAAACTAGAGACATCAATTGGAAAATTGATGCATATTGAGGTCCTACTCTTTTCTCTTAAGTGAAATAAATAAGTCACACATGTGTAAATACCAAAAAGTTTCTCTGGTGTGAAAAACTATAATTGTAAATAAGATCTTAATGGTATAACTGACAATGTGAAATAGGAAGAAAAGGGCTAAAGGTGTAGGGAAAGTGGGAGAGGTAGGAGAAAGGTAATAAGGGACAAGAAAAAATATGAGAGAATGAAAAAAATGGAAATAAAGTTTTTGTAAATAGGGAAGCGAGGAGGGGGTGAGGGAGGGCAGGGATGTGGGGAAAAATGAGAACCAAGACCTGGCATGTAAAAGGTATATGATAAATGTAACTTATCGTATACCTAAAAAGTACCAATAAACTCAATGAGAAAAAAAATTTTTGGTATTTAATTTTGTGCACAATTTAATTTGTGTACATTTAATTTTGATACTGTACAACTGAATAAGTCATTTTAGGCTTATAACAAATTATTTTATTAATACTTCTGATTTTAAGAAATAAGTAAACGTTAAGCCATTTTCAACTTATTAAATTATCTTTGAGAGAGCATAGAAAGAAATTGTATAAACTACGTCTTTAAAGGAATATGTGTGAATTGCAAAGTGACCTGGTGTGTAATATAGTTAGCTTCAAATTATAACAAGATTATCTCCCCCACTTCTTTTTCAAACGAACCTAAAATTGAGTTAAAGATCATTTGAAGACATTAGCTATTAAGATTTTTAATGTTTTTAAAAGGAAAAAGCAGTCTTCTAAAGTGACCATGACATGTTTAAGTAAATATTTTCCCCAAAGGTTCACTGTATAATGTAACTTGAGAAGATACGAGTAAACACATTGACTGCTGCAGTATTTTAGAAAGTAATTTACCATTTCTTGATTTGAGAAAGCTCTTTAAAATATACAAAATCTTCTTCATTTCCCACAATACCAGTTTTTCTAAAGGGCTCACAGCTTGGATAACCAGTAGTGCAGATAATTCTGTTAATCAAGGGACTTAGAAATCTCAGGGGGGAAAAAACTGACAACTCATAGCCTCTTTTCTCCATCTAGCATTTGCTCCATTAACCCTCAAATGCCTTAACAACTGGGTTTACAGAGGAAAAGACCTTTTCTACAAATACTTACAAATTTCTGCTGTAATATGCAGGGATTTTCCCAAAAAGTCAACATTTACTTAATACAAAAAGCCTTAAGTTTGAGCTAGTGGAGCCATCAGTAGGTTTACCTAACCCCACGAAACAGTTCAACTAGCTGTTTTATACAGGTACTCACCTTTCTCCCCTAAAGACTTCTGCTGGCAGCAGTTAAACCAAAGTGGGAACTTAATAAAAATGAAAATTGTGGTAGCAAAATACACTTACAAGGTAAATATGACAGTGTGCAAAAATTTGGGAGGTAACAGTGGTTTCTATGTAACCACAGTACTGATTTAGAAAACCCCCAGAGAAACAGCTGCATTTTGATATCTAACCTGCTTTGCTTGCATAGAAAACCCCAGAATTTCTGGGTGTATGCCTTCTGATGCCAGAATTTGGACAGCACCTTGGTGTCTGTGCTTACTGAGAAACAGTGGGACAATGAAACCTGTAGACATTACGTGTACATCACAGGCAAACATATTTGCTTCAAAGAGCCCATTGTTTATTTATTTTACTAAAGTGTGGCAAAGGGTGAAAAAGTCAATTCTTCCAGACTCCTAAGAAAATGGTGCTCATACAACTGGATTATTTGATTACCTGTGAATATCTCCATTTGTGGCATTTGACAGCAACTGGCTGAGGCAAACCTGGCAAAATGTTTTCCAGCTGCTGAAGGATTAACTCCTGTACATCCTCAATGCTGTGTTCCAAGTGTGTAACTCCAAATGGGACTGTGGTGTGAATCACCAGGGAAGGCCCGATTTCTGATGACTCTGTGGTAGGAGAAGAATATAAAGATATATCTTAAAGTGGGTAACATGGAAAGATCTCTCAGCATTCAAAGTACAATGGAGAATTAAGTACAATAATCAGGCAATAAATGGAGAAAAAAGAGCATAAATCTTTGAGCATAAATTAGGCTATTTCAGAAATTCAAAATGAAGCTTCTGTGAAAAGGAATATGGACTCAAACCATGTTTTAGAGAACAAATAGGTCTTGCTAAAGGAAGGAAGGGAAGGAAGAATACATATGTACTGCTTTGGGTGGAGTTGCATGTATTGGTATGTTTGTCTTCTCGCTTTCACTAAATTGCAAGTCTTCGGAGCAGGGCCCATATTTATACATTCTTTATATTCTTAAATTCGAAGAACAAAGTAAATGTTTAATGATTTTTTTATTAAAGAGACTGAAAAAATATTTGCTGAAATTGTATAAATGCTAGAATATCTTTATTACCTTCAAAAAGAAATCAAGCGGGCTGGAGATTTAGCTCAGTGGTTCTGCCGCCTGCCTCACAAGCACAAAGACCCGAGTTTGATCCCCAGTACCAAAAATAAAAAAAAGGAAATCAAGCTTTTCTAGATACAGAATTGTCCTCATAATATTCTTTTAATAACACAAAGGGAATTATTTTCCATTTTAATTTACCATTAAATTTATTTTTGCTATATTTTTCTAATTACAAAAGATGAGCAACTGCTATATATCTTTCACTCATTAATATAATACAGGACAACAGAATGAAGGTAAAAACAATTTCAGGGAACAGAGGCACTAGAAAATGCCACCTTGGAAAGAATGCTGGCAGGTTTGTTATTATTGGTTTAAATCATACCAAAGAGAAATTTGGGGAGACACACAGCCTTAACTATTTAGAAGTTTTTCTTTTTGTTTTTTGTGATAGTCTTACTATGTAGTTCAGTTTGGTCTTGAACTCACTATGTAGCCCAGGCTGGCCTCAAACTTACAGTCACCCTCCTGTCTCAGCCTCCTGAGTGCTGGTATTACAGAAATGTGCCACCACACTCCCAATTACAGAGGTTTTTATTTTTTATTTAAATGTTTTATTTATTTATTTACTTATTTATTTATTGTGGTACTGGGGATTGAACCTAGGGCCTTCACAATAAGCTACACTTTCAGCTTACTTTTTTTAAGCCTGTATTTTTAGACAGGGTCTCTCTAAATTGCAAAATTGCCAGGCTGGATTTTAACTTGTCCTCCTGCCTCAGCCTCCCAGAGTGCTGGGATTACAGGCATGTGTCACCATAGTTGGTTTATTCTTTGTAAAATGGAAATAAGTTTATACTTATTTCACAGGTCTACAGTGCAGATTAAGTAATAGTGCACATGAAATTTTCAGCACAGTTTCTGGTACAGAGTAAGTGCTTAATAATTATAAGTTATGAGAATGGAAGGAAAAACATATACTAGGGGGATGTTCTAGAAGTGTTACTCAAATTACAGAGGTGACTTATTTATTGTGAGTCCTTCATTTCATCGGGAATGGTGGTGGAGAGAAATGAGGTTGGTGATGGCACTCTGGGAGGCTGAGGCAGGGAAATCAAAAGCTCAGTCCAGGCTGGGCAACTTAGTGAGGCCTCCCTCAATGGAAAACATGAAAAGGTTTAGGGATGTAACCCAGTGTGATGGAATTCAGGGCCTTGTTCAATCCCCAGTACTTTAAGTATAAAACAACAAAGCCAAATACACTTCATCTCTCTCCACTGCGCTCATCTCAGGGATCCCTGGCATATGAAACAACATAGCAAAATACTTTAAAATGCTTTAAGCCTTTAAGTTCAGTGAGTGTTTTCAAACAATTTCACATATCTGAGGTTTAGGCTGTGAATTCAGAATCTGCACAGTAAATGCCATGATGAACCAGACTGTCCGCTCTTTTCACCTTATTGAAGTTGGAATAACTCAAAAGAGGAAAATGAGGAGTCATCTCTTTTTTAAAATTCATTGTTTATTGGTACAGTTTAGGTATATAATATGATGACATTCATCATTGGGAATTTGTGCCTTTACATGACAGATCTTGGTTCTTATTTCTTCCCCATTCCCCTGCTCTCCCTTCAACCACTCCACCCCTCCCCATTTACAAAGACTTAGTTTCCACTTTTTCCTTTTCTCATACTTATTTCCTTTCCCTGCTTTCCTTTTCCCTACCCCTCCTACTTCCCCTTTGCACTTTTTCTTCCTTCCTGTTTTACATTATCTATTATACATTTTGATCCTTATTTACACTTTCAGCTTCTCACACCAGAAAAACTAGTCAGTATTTACATGTGTGTCCTACTTATTTCACGTAAGATTATGACCTCCATATGCATCCATTTAGCTATAAATGTCTCTAGTTTATCATTCTTTATGGCTGAGTAGTATTCCATTTTATTTATTTATTTTTTTTGAAAACCAACTTCTTCTTTATCCAGTCTCCAGTTGATGGGCAATTGGGCTGTTTCTAAGTTTAAGCCATTACAAACTGTGCTATTATAAACATGGGTGTGCATATATCACTGTAATATGATTCTTTTAATTCTTTTGGAAAGATATCCAGCAGGATAGCTAGGTCAAATGGAACCTCTAACTCTAGTGTTTTTGAGGTATCTCCATATTGATTTCCACAGTGGTTGCACCAGTCTGCACTCCCACCAACAATGGAGAAGTGTTCCTTTCTCCCCACCCTGCCAATATTTGCTGTTGGTTGATTTCTTGATAGCAGCCATTCTTTCTGGGGTGAGGTGGAATCTCAGTGTTGTTTTCATCTGCATTTCTCAAATGAGAAAGGTTGAATATTTTTTCATTTGTTTATTTGCTATTTCTACTTGTTTGAGAAATGTCTGTTCATTTCAGATATCCATCTTTGAATTGGGTCTTTAAATTTGGGAGGTCAGAGTTTTTTTAAGTTCTTTATGTATTCTAGATAGTAGTCTTTTGTCTGAAGAACAACTGGTTAAAAAAAAATTTCCTACATTGTAGGTTGTCTCTTAGCTCTGTTGGTGGTTTCTCTTGGGGTGCAAAAGCTTTTTAATATAATAAGATGAGATCTGGGCCAGGGATTTACCTCAGTGGTTCTGCCACCTGCTTCACAAGTGCAAGGACCCAAGTTTGATTCCCGGTACAAAAAGATGAGATTCCAGTTGTTGATTTTTTGTGCTAGTTCCTGTGCTACTGAGGATTTGTTCATAAAATCTTTTCCTATGCGAATGTCTTCAAGAGTTCTACCTAACCTATCTTTCAGCAGATTTAGTGTTTGTTTTAATATTTAGATCTTTGATCCATTTCAATTTTAGTTTAGTGCATGATGAGAGATATAGGTCTAGTTTTAATCTTTGACAAGTTTAAACCCAATTTTTCCAGCACCATTTATTAAAGAGGCTATATCTTTCCTCCAGTGAGTCTCTTTGGCTCATTTGTCAAAGATGAGGTGGCTGAGGGGCTGGCGGGGGGTTGCAGGGAGGGCAGGGGAATGGTGAAAAATAAGAACAAAGATACATCATGGTAAGGTACATGTTTCCAATGATGAATGTAAATGTATTGTATACCTAAAATGAACCAATAAAAGTATTCAAGAGGGGGAAAAAGAAGATGAGGTGGCTGGGTATGTCTGGAGTTGTTTCTTCATCTTCTAATCTATTCCACCAATCTTTGGGTCTGTTTCTTTGCCAGTATCATGCTGTTTTTATCACAGTGGCCTTGTAGTATGGTTTCAAGATGGGGATTGTGATTACTTACCCTGTTATGCCTTTGTTGCTTAGAATTGCTCTTGTTGTTCTAGATGTCTTCTGGTTCCAAATTAATTTTTGGATTGTTGTTTTCTATTTCTGTGAAATATACTGTTGGGATTTCAATGGGGATTGTATTGAATCTGTACAGAAGTTTTGGTAGTACAGCCATTTGCAGTATGTTGATTCTTCCTATCCAGGAACAAGGGATGTTTTTCCATTTTCTTATATTCTCTTAAATCTCATTTTTCAGAGTTCTGTAGTTTTCAAGGTAGAGGTCTTTTACTTCCTTCATTATATTGATTCCTAGATATTTCATTTTTTTTGGATGCTATTGTGAAAAGAATTATTTCCCCATTTTCTCTCTCAGTGACCTTGTTTTCTGTGTACAAGAAGGCTATTGATTTTTGAGTGTTGACCTTGTATGCAAATACTCTACTGAATCCATCAATTAAGTGTAGAATTCTTTTAGCAGAGTTTTTGGGTCTTCTATGTAGACTATCATATTGTTAGCAAATAATGACAATTTAACTTTTTCCTTTCCTATCACTATTCCTTTTATTTCTTTCCCTTGTTTAATTGCTATGCCTAATGTTTCCAGAACTATACTGAAGAGGAGTGGTGAGTGAACATCCTTGTCTTGTTCATGATTTTAGCATGAAGGTTTTCAGGTTTTGACTAGTTAGTATGAGGTTTTTCATAGAGAGTCTTTATCAGGTTGAGATAAAGACCATCTATTCGAATTTTCTGAAGGGTTATTATCATGAATGGGTGTTGGATTTTGTCAAATGCTTTATCTGCATCTATTGAGATGATCATATGGTTTTTGTCCTTGATTCTGTTAATATAATATATTGCATTTATTGATTTATGTATGTTAAACTATCCTAACATCCTTGGGATAAATCTGACTCAGTCAGCATGTATGATCTTCTTGATGATCCTCTGTATTCTGTTTGCCAGTATCTTATTGACGATTTTTGCATCTATGTTCATTAGGGAGATTGGCCTGTAGTTCTTTTTTTTTGGTTGGGTCTTTCTCTGCTTTTGGAATCAAAGTAAACCTTGCTTCCAGGAATGAATTTGGCAGTATTTCTTCCCTTTCAATCTTATTAAATAGTTTGAGAAGTAGTGGCATTAGCTCTTCCCTAAATTTCTTGTAGAATTCAGCAGTGAATCCATCAGGACCTGGGCTTCTCTTTGTTGGTAAATTTTTAATTACATTTTCAATTTCACTGATTGAAATTGGCGTGTTTAG